AGAAGCCATAGGTCGCCAACATACAGTATTTGCTTGACCGCACAAAATACAGGTCATGTTATTCCTTATTACGTGTATTACACTGACATTAGCAGACTAAATATAGTTGTGTGACATTATGGGAATATTAGCTCGACATATTCCTAATAATATAAAAACACATTAGGTCTAATGTTTTTCTGTATTGTGCTTATTACCTGGAATGATGTGAGAACCATACGTGACAGGCCGCCACAGTACCGTGTGGGTTTTCCTGCAGACCTTTCGAATAAAATTTACTCTTAACATTTCCTAGACTGTCCATTGAAGAAGAAAATGTCCTAGTGCTTAATTAGGGTAATTGTTTTAATGGCACTGCAAAGAAAACACTATTAGTGATAATTACCACTCTAAGAGATGGATGACTCCGTACACACAATTCTCCTCATGAACCCACCATGGAATCTGTTCCAGAAGCCATGATGGATGCGGTGAGGGAGGAATAACCACGATCACAGGGTGTGACACAATACAGGGTCTGCGGCTACATGTTCACACACCAGCTGTACTTCTAGCAGACGTGAGAATAGCCGTGTTTCTGCGGGACACGGTGGCGTGCCGCTGGAACAGAAGGGGACGCGGCTGGAAGACAAATGAGCAGGAATGTTATTTTACTGATCTGGTTCATACTTCTGTCAGTAATGTGTTTCTCTTTTTCTGGAGAGGTGGCTTTTGGAACGTACACGTCAAAAGTGCTGCTAAACCTCAAGCACAAAATAGTTTATATAGAAGATCTATGGATAACTCTTGTAGATATTTGGTAGCGCTTGCCAGGTTCTAACTAAGGTGGGAACACTTCAGTGCCTATCGGTGAGAAGAATGCAGTTTTTAAGAAGCCAGCAATCATTTGTTGAGTTCACCATGGGTAATCATTTTTGGCTTAGGATGAATTTATCTTGAAGAATGTTCCATAAACTTGTAGGTCCAGCTCTGTGGAACTTACAAGTTTATTTCACTGAAGAAAGGAGGAGGGGAGAGGATATCGCACATGTCGGTCTATTAAGGGGCAGTATAGTGTTTGATACAGAGAAGTCCTACCCTTGTAACTCTCAACAGCAGCTGATGTCAGTGACATCCATAGATATGGGACATTTGTAAATCTGTATATGAGTTGCAGTCATAAAAATATGTCACTGGAAACATGCACGAATGTGAAAAGCACATCAAAGCGTATTTCTATTACTTTTCGTAAAGCATATCTAAATCCTGAAGCAAAAATGAATATATTGAAGCCTCCTAGTCCTTAGATAAGGGAACTGCATTTTTTTCAGGCTTTCTCCCCTAATTTTCACTTGCTAATACTGTGGAAGCATGCCTGCCTTTGTTCCTCTCCATTGGATAGGTGCTGATGGGATTAATATTTTACATAAGAAAGACAAGGTTAGTTGTGCTTTCTGTTAAACTCACAGGGAGTGAGAAGGATATCTAGAGGTTTATAAAGAATTCGCAGAGCCATTCACTCTGCAAATCTCTGTAAACGTTTGTTCTGGGCAAAAATAAATGTTCTTTGTATATTTTCTTTTCAGGTTGAATGTAATGCCACATTATGGCCATTAGATGGCTTTGAGGAGCCTAGGAAATAGGTATTCACTATGCTATATCTGTAAAAAATAAGTCAAGGCAACTGGACTTGCTGTATTTTTCTTGAAGATGTTTCACTAGTCTTTCGATTGTCTTGACTTACTTTTTACAGATATACCATGACCTGGATGAATGAGAACCTTCACAGACATATTCACTATGCTTATCAGCACCATCTAGTGGCAATAATGCTGTATTACATTTGATTTGATTCAAAAATATACTAAGAACCTTTTGTCTCTACTCACACACAACAAATGTTCACAAAGATTTGCAGGGGGAATAGCTGTGAATTGATTATAAATAAACTATTGGGAAGATTATGTATTTTCTGTACTTGTTTGTAAAGGTTCTTATTTATTCAAGTCATGGTATTGCTATTAGTAGTTAGTCACATTCAACTGGACTTGTTTTGTGCTGTTGAAGATGTTTTATAGCTTATCCACGCCACTTATTCAGTTCTAATGAGTGTCAGAAACATACCTCAGCATTTATATCTGCACAAGGTAGCACAGTCACCAAAGGATGGGATTATGTAATTAGAAAAGGGTGGTTGCACATCTTTCAAATCTCCTATCCTGTTCCTTGACAATCAACATCTGCCTTGGCACATACCTTGGTAATTGAATTAGGTGATTAGATTAGGGTAACTGCTACCTGCGTGGATATATAGTGGCTTGCAAAAAGTAGTCACTCCGCTTGGTATTTTTCCTATTTTATTGCATTACCACCTGGAATTAAAATGGATTTTTATTTGGATTACATGTAATGGACATACAAAAAATAGTCCAAAATAGTTTTCAAAGCTTATAAAAGGGAAAAGTGGTGCTTGTATATGTATTCACCTATAGATATACATACTGTATATATGAAGTCCCTTCATAAGATCTGGTCCAACCAATTATCTTCCAAAGTCACATACTGGAATTAGTTAAATAAAGACCACCTGTGTGCAAAGTGTCACATGATCTCAGTATATCTACACCTGTTCTGAAAGGCCCCGGAGTCTGCAACACCACTGAGCAAGGGGCACCATTAAGCAAGCGGCACCATAAAGACCAAGCAGCTCTCCAAACAGGTCAGGAACAAAGTTATGGATAAGTACAAATCAGGGTTGGGTTATAAAGAAATATCTGAAACTTTAAACATCCTATGGAGCACCATTAAATCCATTATTAAGAAATTGGAAGAATATGGCATCACAACAAACCTGCCAAGAGAGGGCCGTCCACCCAAACTCACGGACCAGGCAAGGAGGGCATTAATCAGAAAGGCAACAAAGAGACCAGAGATAACCCCGAGTGAGCTGCAAAACGGCACAGCAGAGTTTTGAATTTCTGTTCATAGGACCACTTTAAGCCGTACACTCCACAGAGCCGGCCTTCATGGAGGAGTGGTCAGAAAAAAGTCAATGCTTATAGAAAAAAAAAAGCAAACACTTTTATTTGCCAAAAGGCATTTGGGAGATTTGGGAAGAAGGTTCTTTGTTCAGATTAGACTAAAACTGAGGTTTTTTTGGCCTTCAAAGAAACCGCCTTTCTGACGCAAACTCAAAACCTCTCATTACCTCGAACACCATCCCTGCAGTGAAGCATGGCAGCAGCATCATGCTGTGGGGATGTTTTCATCGGCAGTGACAAACTGGTCAGATTTGAAGGAATGATGGATGACGCTAAATACAGGGAAATTCTTGAGGGAAACATTTTTCAGTCTGCCAGAGATTTGAGATTGGGACGGCGGTTTACCTTCCAGCAGGACAATGACCCTAAAAAAATAAAAAAATGCAAACAAATAACAAAAATAAAGTTTATAAAATAAAATTAAAAATAGAAAAAAACTTTTTTTGGTGTGTCATTTTAAATAAAAAAATGTTTTATTATAATCTTCTGAACAACGGGAACAGACATCAAAACAAAAGTGACCCTTCCCTATGCTATCCAAAACTAAAAAATGTTTTTTTGGCAAAGTGGTAGGCATGTTGTGTAAATCAAATGATACAAACTCCCAAAATATCCATTTAAATTCCAGGTGATAAAGCAACAAAATAGAAAAAATGCCAAGGGAGTGAATACGTTTGACAAGTGACAAATAGCACCTCGCGCCAAACCCTGTGTAGCTGCAAGCACTATAAGAAGTGTTAACCTCTGAATGTATCAAATTATAATAATGAATGTGCTGCGCTTCATCTAGAACAATAAATAAATAAACAAATCTCTATAATAAGTGCTAAACAATACAGGCAACCCGTACTTACGAACTGAGGTCCATAGGCTGCAACGGTCTGTGTCCCTTCAAATCCCCGCTGTTCTCCCCGCCTGTGTTGGCAAAGGCAGCGGGGACACAGACCACTGCATTCCTCCGCTGCTGTACCGTCCGGTTCCTCCTTCTTCCGGTGTATCTGCACCTCCTCTTCTGCCGGTCCATCCACTCCTCTTCCCGGGTGCATCCGCTCCTCTTCTCCCTGTCCGTCCGCTCCTCCTCCCGGTTACTCCCATTGTCTGCTGTCAATCAGCAGGGGAGGACCTGATGGAGAACTTTCTCCTTCCGGCCCCATCTCTGCTGATTGGCAGTGGGCAGATGCAATAGTCAGCCTGCTATTGGCTATTTCAATTTGAAATAGCCAATAGCAGGCTGGCTATTGTTCCCAGCATTAAAATAAAAAAATAAATTTAAAAAAAGGTTTAAAAAATAAAATTAAAAAGACAAAGAAAAGTTGTAAAAAAGTTAAATAAATAAAAATTAAAAATGCAAACAACAAAAATAAAGTTTATAAAATAAAATTAAAAATAGAAAAAAACTTTTTTTGGTGTCATTTTAAATAAAAAATCTTTTTATTATATTATAATCTTCTGAACAACGGGCAACAACAGACATCAAAACAAAAGTGACCCTTCCCTATGCTATCCAAAATGAAAAAAAAAATATTTGGGCTGGAGTTACACTTTAAATGTACCTGTTCCGACTTACATACAAATTCAACTTAAGTACAAACCTACAGTTCCTATCTTGTATGTAACCCGGGGACTGCCTGTACATGCAATCAAAGTTTATAAGAAGAGCAATTGTGAACACTTTGATTGCATGGAGTGAATACTTTTGCAAGCCACTGTAGCTGCTATGTATGTTCCTGACACTCATGAAAAAGTGTCTATAAAACATCTTCAACATTATTTAACAAGTCCAGTTAAATGTGACTAACTACTACTACTAGCTATTTTCTAGAAAATGAATGCAGCCACTACATCAGTGACTGGTAAGATGCAATATATTACATTTTTGTTTATAGTTTAGGTATCCTTTACATTTTACAATAGTAATGCAAAATGGGACCTTTTTCAGGTAACACTTTAGTCTTCTATTAAAAATCAATGGCGACATGCATGACTGCTTTAATAAACAATATTTTCATATACTGTATATATTATAGCACTGTGCGGACGTGGGATGTGTCCAAAGACAAGAAGCATAAAAGCATCTTCAAACCAAGATCTGCTCAAGGAAAACGTGTGATCCCAACTTGTGCCACCTACAATAGAGATGGCAAGCTAATAGCCGCAGGATGCCAGGATGGAACCATACAAATCTGGGACAGAAATATGAGCGTAAGTAGCAGAATATTATATTCCTTTCTGTATGTACATGCTTACATTGTTTTATTTTTTCGTGGTTTTAGATTTTAAAGTGGACCTGTTGTGCATAACCAAAATATCTGTAGCTTTTCTCATGGGCCGTGTTACATTTTGTAGATACCATCACATATACTGTCATTACATTTTCAGAGTTTGGGACACATTACAGGCCTGCCTATGACCAATCAGGAGCATGCGGGGAAGAGTATACACACAACCAAATGTATCTAAGGCATGCTGCATGCCTTATGTCAATGAATATATAACCCCCTTTGGAATACTCCGTACTTGCATTTGTTTATTGTTTCGTTGTTTGCTGCATTTGTTCATATATTTTGAATGTTACAGGTATGCTTTAATAGTGATTAAGGGACATATAAACTAAACTAAAGCATGTAAAAGTTAAACTATGCTACAGGAGGGACTCAGAGGACCAAAAATAATTGCTATGGAAATCAAAATATTTGATTTTGCCCATAGTTCCACTTAAATATAATGTAACTTTTTGTTATTGGATAAAAACCCTCATTCTCTGTTCCCCAGTTGCATTCCTGCATTGTCACATGGCATGGCCCACTGTTGTCTGCATTGGGATAACGATGCAGAGCATGACATGCCTTTGATGCTAGAGCAAGTGGCAGAAAGAGGAGATCGGCAACACTAAGATGGAAGATAAAAAAACAGATGGAAAAATGGAATAGTGATAATTTATACACACTGAGGGGAACTTATCAAAACTGGAGCAGCTGTGAATGGCAACCAATCAGCTTCTCTTTTTTATTTTCAAATCTTAACTGAACAAATAGAAGAGAAAAGCAGATTGGTTGCTGTGCACAGCTGCTCCAGTTTTAGTCTGCTCCAGTTTTGATAAATTCCCTTCAGGGTGTTACCAAAATAAATGTCATCCAGCTTGGGTTCAGACCTACACTTTATTGCCAAAAGTATTGGGACTCCTGCCTTTACACGCACATGAACTTTAATGGCATCCCAGTCTTAGTCCGTAGGGCTCAATATTGAGTTGGCCCAACCTTTACAGCTATAACAGCTTCAACTCTTCTGGGAAGGCATCCACAAGGTTTAGGAGTGTGTCTATGGGAATGTTTGACCGTTCTTCCAGAAGAGCATTTGTGAGGTCAGGTACTGATGTTGGACGAGAAGGCCGGGCTCGCAGTCTCCGCTGTAATTCATCCCAAAGGTGTTCGATCGGGTTGAGATCAGGACTCTGTGCAGGCCAGTCAAGTTCCTCCACCCCAAACCCGCTCATCCATGTCTTTATGGACCTTGTTTTGTGCACTGGTGCGCAGTCATGTTGGAACAGGAAGGGGCCATCCGCAAACTGTTCCCACAAAGTTGGGAGCATGAAATTGTCCAAAATGTCTTGGTATGCTGATGCCTTAAGAGTTCCCTTCACTAGAACTAAGGGGCCAAGCCAAACTCCTGAAAAACAACCCCACACCATAATCCCCCCTCCACCAAACTTTACACTTGGCACAATGCAGTCAGGCAAGTACCGTTCTGGCAACCGCCAAACCCAGACACATCCATCGGATTGCCAGACAGAGAAGCGTGATTCGTCACTCCAGAGAACATGTCTCCACTTCTCTAGAGTCCAGTGGCGGCGTGCTTTACACCACTGCATCCGAGGCTTTGCATTGCACTTGGTGATGTAAGGCTTGGATGCAGCTGCTTGGCCATGGGAACCCATTCCATGAAGCTTTTTATGCACTGTTGTTGTGCCAATCTGAAGGCCACACGAAGTTTGGGGGTCTGTAGCTATTGAATTTGCTGACAGTTGGCGACTTCTGCGTGCTGTGCCCTTCAGCATGCGCTGACTCTGCTCTGTCATTTTATGTGACCTACCACTTCATGGCTGAGTTGCTGTTGTTCCCTGTTGCTCCCACTTTGTTATAATACCACTAACAGGTGACCGTGGAATATTTAGTGGAAAGGAAATTTCACGGATGGACTTATTGCACAGGTGGCAACCTATCACGGTACCACGCTTGAATTCACTGAACTCCTGATAGCGACCCATTCTTTCACAAATGTTTGTAGAAGCGTCTCCGTGTCTAGGTGCTTGATTTTATACACCTATGGCCATGGAGGTGATTGGAACACCTGAATCCAATGATTCCCCAACACTTTTGGCAATATAGTGTCCTTTTAAAGGGTATTTATGGTCAAAAACGAAAAATAAACCTGTATTTCGATATTTAATTTCTATAAGTTCTATCCCACTCCTAATAACCATATTGATCTAGAAGTTTGTAAACATATTTACTGTGACGGACTGAACCATCACTGGGGCTGCTGGAGGAGCCTGAGGGCTAGCCTCCTTCCTAGAGACTATGGACCTAGGACTATAGAGACCCCCCCTTGTGGGTTGAACTAGGTGTCCGGGGCCCATGGACGGCTGTTGCGGGGGACCCTGGCCCTACAGCCGTCCAATTTCACAATTCAATACCGGCTCTGGAAACCCACTGTAAATGACAATGGTGCACATATCAGCCCTCCCATTCAAGCTATCAGACCAATCCCTGTTTACCCTGTTTCAAGTCCTCATTTGCATGGCCAAGAGGACCTAAGTGAGGACTAGAGGATACTTTGCAGTTGACCAATAGGAAGGTGGTCGGTTGGGCCACCTTCAAACTGTTCTTTATAAAAGTGTGTGTGTGCATCCAATAAAGGAGATTCCTGTTTGAACTTACATGCAGCCTGCCTGGTGTTTGTTCTGAGCTATCACCACTGGATACGAACGGCACATAGCTGTAGTACGAATCCCAAATTATCGGATGTCCGAAATATCAGACGCTGCAGTCTGAAATCTAAGGAGTGCCGGGAGAGTGGAACCGAGCGAGCAGGGGCTCGTTACATTTACCATTTGTGTCTTGAATTGAATTGTGATTATAATGCCTTCCCTATGTTGTAAAGCACTGCACAAACTGTTGGCGCTATATAAATCCTGTATAATAACAATATTAATAATAATATTTATTGAAGATGCCCATACGATGAACATTCTCAATGTACTGACACAATTCCACTCAGTGTTGTGATATGAACTTCCTTGTTTCACTACTCGAACTAAACCTGCCATCTGAACTACAACTTAACCTCTGAACTTCCTACAATGTAGCATTACCATTGCTTGCTGAAAGCCATGCATGATGAGATATGTAGTCTTGAAAAATCGAGATCGCATAACATGCAGCAGCAGGGAAAGAGATACAAAGCACACTGGGAATCCAGGAAGTTGATGAAAGTGATGGGCAGACAGAAGGCAGCACTTACGACGTAAAAGGGATTTTTTCAAGTAAGCTTTGATTGCATTATCAAAAGCAACTCTAGTATGTCTTCCTATTACAATGCTGATGTTAGAACAGGATGGCATTTGCTGTGAATTTAGAACTGCTTCAAGAGATTCATCTACAGAATCCAGGCAAAGTAAAAATACTAATTTTGAGTAGACTGATCATAAAAGATGCATCACCAGAAAACTGGTGTTCTATAAAAGATTTTATATTGATTGGGATGTTTGATGAAGGTGTAATGAAAAAAAGACGCACTTAATGGAAGACAGGGAAAGCATGTGAAGAAAAGGCTAAGTGTCGTATAGCCAGTGCTGTCCAGGACTGCAAAGTCTGCTAGTCTTCATCAGGATGGGCAGAGTAGATGTGGGGGCCAACTCCTTTTCCATGAGCTGCTTTTCATCCTCTCCCTATGCTCACGTTAGTATATACAGCCCTGACATATTGCTTTTTTTTTCATGGCACGTGGAGGACCACCATATGATTTTATGAAGTTTTAAGTGTTGAGCATTCTGACTTACGTCAGTGGTTTTTCCATTCATTTCTTCTAGATGACCAGCAGATCTCTCATGTCTTTCTACTGCCTGCATACACACAGTGCCTATAAAATGTTATTCAAAATATGTGCAGCCTTCACTTGTAAAAGCCTTCTGCCGAGCCATGAACCTACCTATAGTCACTAAGGTGTTATTTGGTGCTCATTTTGTAAACATATTCACTTGTTAAAAGAACATTATGACTCGGTCATCTTTACAACCAGCCCCTCTCTTTAAATGTCTATTTAACCTTGTGAGAACAGTATTTATAAAGTGAGGACTAAAAATGCTCTGCCTTTGATGAACAGCTTCTATACTAAATCCTTCTATGGCATTATAGAATGCCATTCTGTTAAAACCGGGAGGCAAGTCTCTGTATTAAAGGTTACCTCCAGCAAAACCAAAACAATCAAAACCGAAACAATCTGCTTGTGAATTTTGCTCTCTGTACACCAAGCCATCGCTGTTTCAAAGTGAAAAAATGTTAAGTCAACAGAATGCATAGTGATTTACCGTATAACAAATGTACACTGTATGACCAAACGTTTGTGGACAGCGGGCCATTAAACCAATGGGCGTCCCATTTCAAAACTATGGGCACCCCCTTCCTTTGCAGCTATAACAGCTCTCCGCTTCTGGGAAGGCTTTCCACAAGATTTTGGGCACCCTCCTTCCTTTGCAAGGCTTTCCACAAGATTTTGGGCACCCCCTTCCTTTGCAGCTATAACAGCCTCTCCGCTTCTGGGAAGGCTTTCCACAAGATTTTGTAGTGTGTGGGAATTTGTCCCCATTCAACCAAAGGAGCATTTGTGCGGTCAGTTGTTAGACAGAAGTACTTGGCTCGCAGATTCCAGGCCATCCCAAATGTATTCAATATGGTTGAGTTTTAGTGCGCTGTGAAGGCCACTTGCATTCCTATACACCAAACTCATCAACTTACATCAACGCCCCCAATCTGTTGTAACAAAGTTTGATGCGCACAGTTGTCTAAAATGTCTTTGTATGTCGTAGCAGTAAGAGCATCCTTCACTGGACACACAAACTCCATAATTTGGAGGAGGCGTGTCTGTATACTTTTGGCACTATAAGGCAAGGCAAGAGGAATTTTAAAGGGTCAGTCCAGTCAAAA